TGTTCATTATTCTTATTGTTTTCTCGCTTGGTCCATTATACTCCTGCGCAAGCCATGAATTTTAAATTCACACTGGCTCTCCTCCCCAAAGACACCCACATGCTGTTGTTGAGCTGCTGTTCTGAAAACCACACATGAAAACCTGAAATCACTTTAAGCTGAAAAGAGCATGGTGACATTCAGATTTTAACTGGAATAGTGGAAAGAGCCCAGGAGTCAGGAGAGGAGAGCTGGGTTCAGGGTTTGTCTCTAAGATTCTCTGCATGATTGGCTCTGAGGGAGCTGATAACCTCCCCTGCATCGCCAATGCCTCCCATGTATAACAGGAAAAATTATAAACACCTCGCAGGGTTTTTCAAAGACTCAAATGTGATGACAGATGTGAAAATATTTTACATATAAGCAAGAAGTGTATGCTCCCTGAAGTTACAGGCCTAGCTTGCCTTCCTGCCTGCCAGTTTCAGGCCACTCTCTCAGAGCAACTTCTGAAGTCTTTGTTTTGTAATCTAGGTCACACTATTGTACCTCCTCTGCTCAAAACCTTCAGCTGGTGCTCCATGGCAAACGCCCAAATCCTTCAAATGACTTGTAAGGCCTCAGTAATTCTAACCACTCCCTCCATCATCCTCTTCTCTCCCCTCACTCACTGTAGTCCAACCACTGACTGCGACTTTTCCTTGTGTATGCAAGGCACTGGGCTGCCACGACAGGGCCCAGCAACTACTTGTACTAGAAGAAAGTGCCCTCTGCCAAAAATGTACTTCTCCCAAATATCCTATGATGGGTCCTCTCACCTCCATTAAGCCTTGGCAACACTTTCTAATGAACAATATTTAAAACTCTAAATTCCCTCATGTTTATTAAATCACTTGCCCTATGACGCTTTATCCTGTGGTTCAAAGAATTTAAAACTGTTATCAGTTTACTTATTTATTATGTTCATTGTCTCTCCTCACGAGACCATCAGGAGTGCTCAGACTCCTTATTCTAGAACCATGCCTGGCTATAGCAAGAATTTCTTTTTTAATATTTTTCTTTTAATAACAAGTGAATGAACTTTGTGTAGCATTCTGCCTCATGTCAGGAAAAGAATCCTGATC